AAACTTATCTCTATTTTCTCCCCAAGAAAATTCTTCGAAGTTCCTCTGAATCTCTTCCTTTATTTACAGCGCACAGAATTCCTCTTCAAAGTAGCAAGGAGGAAAAAATCTCTCACTTTCCCTCTTCTCACTTTCCCTCCACTCCTTTCCCTCCACTCTTACAATCTCTCAAAGAATTCCTCACAATTTAGACTCTCTACACTTTTTCACACTTTAATTTTGAGTCTCCCCCCTCTCTATTTTTGGCCAAAGTCCTAGAACCTCTAGAGTCTTTCAATTTTCGGCCAAAATTTTCTTTTTAAGTTGTGGATGAGCTTTCCCAAGAGTTGCCTAAGCATCCCTTCAAAATTTGTCTTCATCCAAAGCCTAGTTGGACATAACCGCCGAGCTCACCGTCGGCGGCCTCGAGGTAATTCTGGAGTCTCGGGAAAATCTCGCCGTAGGCGAGGTCGATGGCTTTGTCGGCGCCCTAGTTCAATTCTTCACATTTTGACCTTTTTCGCTCCAAATTCACTCCTTTTTACATCTTTTTGCTCCAATGACCCTATTTCATCATTCTTGTAACAAAATTCATCATTTGCAACAAAACATCAAAAATACCTTTCTTTAAAGTGCAATATCATCAAAATCAGTATAAAATAGGTATGAAAATCTCAACATATTTTCCTCTGGTCAGCTATGATTATGGAGATGGTTTGTGGTGGCTCTGGTTGTGTGTGGAGGTTATGGTTGTGTTGTGGTGGATGTGGTTGTGGTTTGTGGTTGTGTTGGTTTTGTGTAGTTGTAGTTGTGGCTTTGGCTGAAGGTTGTGTTTGTGTTGTGGTGGCTGTGGTTTGTGATTGTGTGGTTGTATTGGTGCGATGTAGTTTGTGGTTGTATGTGGAGGATGTGGTTCTGTGTGGAGGTGGTTGTGGCTGTGTGTGAAGTCCATGATTATGGTTGTGGAGGTGGTTATGGTGGTTGTGGCTGTGGAGATGATTTTAGTGGTTGTGTTTTTGTGTGGAGGATGTGGTTGTGGTTATGGAAGTGGTTGATGTGTTTATGATTGTCTGTGAAGGTTGTGATTATGGTTGTGGAGATGGTCGTGGTGGCTGTGGTTGTGTGTGGAGGTCATGGTTGTGGTTTGTGGTTGTGTTAGTTCTGTGTGGTTTGTGGTTGTATGTGGAGGTTGTGGTTTTGTGTGGAGGTGATTGGGGTGACTGTGATGGTTTGTGGATGCCGTGGTTGTAAAGTTGTGTGTGGGGTTGTCAAGTGTGGTTTCTGCTAATTAATTCTTCTTTTAAATATTTATGTTTAGCTTTTTCTATGATAGTACCACAATGATTAAGAGAAAAGTAGTAGTTCCATTAGCTATGTGGGATAAGGAAGCCAAAATCATATTTTGCGACCTTTTGTCTTAAGGAGGTCGAACTAGAAAAGAGACCCACCACCCGTTTTAACAAGGAATGGTGAAAAAATATTACGAAGATGTTCAAGAAAATGACGAGAAGAGAGTACGATAGGATACAACTGAAAAACAAGTGAGATCAGTTGAAAAAAGTACTCTAAATTATGGAAGGAATTAAAATGAGGATCCACCGGCTTGGTTTAGGATCTAATTAAACGAACTATTGATGCTTTAGAGGGAAGATAGGCTGAGAAATTGGAGGTAAGAACATATCAACACAACATTCCTTTCATTTCTTTCTCTTCCAAAACTGCATGAGCATATCCACTTTCCTTTATATAGCAGGTAGTGCCAGCATTCAATAAATTCAAACTCAATGAAATTGACCCTGATCTGAAAGAAAAGTTGGACCGTATGTTTGGTGGGGTGGAAACGGGGACTCATGCCTAAACCCTTAGTGAGCAAGGATTTGTTGGCATACTTGAGAACTTGGTTGTCGAGCAAATAACTGGCTCTGATGAAGGCCCAAGCCCAAACCAAAATTAAGTGGAGTCCACATACAAGTCAAAACGTCCAAGGTTAGAGAAAAATAAAAAAATGAGCTACTTTCGTTAGAGGCCAAATAACAAAACTGGTGGCTTCATGCACCAGTGACCCTAGGACTTTACATGCAGCCTCCATCAACGATGTTATCTGAGTTCTGGAGGTAATTCCATAAATTTATGAGGACATGTTGTTTTACTTAAAACTCTATGAATTTGTTAGAGGACCCGACATGTAGAGCATTCTTTGTGAAGGTGGGCCATGACTAGAGGGTCAATTATTTACATTTTTTTAGCGATAGGGACCATTGATTTCTTTGAGTAATCTTTGCACTACTTGTATTTATTTTCTATTAGGTTTATCAAATTTTTGATTTCGATGTTTTTTTCTTCTCCTTGGAACAATGTTAATGCTACTTTGGATGCTTGTCATGTCCTCGTAAATTTTTAATTCATTATTTAAAGTTTATTAAAATTGTTTGATTCACATGTCTTACATGAATATAGAACTTGTTCAACATGCATTCACAAAGAGAGAGATGCAGAATGAGAATTGTGGTAATAGTATGTTTGATGTAATAATATTACAACTCATATGTAGATCGATCACCCTGCATGATATCATTTTACATTGATGATAAATTTGTTGGGGAGTTACTTGAAGGACACCCTACAAGATTCATTGACAAGTTTCGTATGACACAACCAATATTTATAGATCTTCTCGATAAATTGCATATGAATCATAGATTTCATGGCTCCTGGAGAGTGACAACTAGAGAGATGTTAACAATAACCCTCAACATTTTGACATTGAATGAATCAATGGATGGATAGAGCAATTTCAACATTCATCGGAGGCAATTAGCAAATACTTTTCAGTGGGAGACTCTTATTAGTTTGTCATCAAAAGTTATCAAACCAGAGGATCCAACATTTGAGAGAATTCCAATAAAGATTGAAAATGACTCGCGGTATATGTCATTTCTTCAGATAAATATTTTTACTCAATATATTTAGAAGTCAAACTGAGTAGTGTAATTCACACAATCTTCTTTAATTTGTTAGAATTCTATTGGAGTGATCGATGAAACACAAGTGGATGCACGTGTATCTAATAATGAAATGGTCGCATTCATTGGGCTGTGTGGATCACTAACACAAAATGTGATGATCGTTTGGGATTTCAACATGCGCTTTAATTTTGTTATAGACTGGTTAGGAAGACAATGCACATGATAGTCGTATATTTACTTTTGCCACAAGAAATCGAAAGCACAATTTCCCTCACCTATCTCTAGGTTTGTTTAAGTATTAATCATATTATTAGATATTTTTTTAAGTTTATTACTAATTATTATATCTGCAACAGACAAATATTACTTGGTCGATGCTAGATATTTTTCGGTTGCAAATATCACATTCCCGGCTTTGAAAGATCCAGCAATATTGCTTGGGGCAGAAAAGAAATGTTTAACAAGAGACACTTGTTCTTATATAATGTAATTGAAAGAACATTTGAAGTGTGAAAGAAAAAATGGGTCATATAGTGTGATATGCCGACATATTCATTTCCGAAGTTAAGTGCAGATTGTAGTGGTCTCAATGACTCACAACAATTATATTTGACGTCATTAATCGAGAACTGACATAGACTTCAACATTACTGACGATGATCATTTAAACGTCACATCTGAAGTATTTGAATATCACATGGGACAATGTATATTACAGACTAAAGAAGAATCACAAGAAGGTTGCACTTGAGATGACGAAGGTGCTGGGGAAATAATTGAATTGAGAGAGCGGAGTGTTGGATGTTGAATGGACCGATTCTTATTTATTTTATACAATTCATGTTTAATTCCGTTCCTTGTATATTTGATTATGATTGTTTGGATTTTTTATGATATTTGTAAGTGTTTTTATTTCTTGTTTCATTTCCTTTATTTTTCTTTTGGTGGGCTTGAGAGGTCCATGATGAGACATTAGACCTTATGAGCTCTTCTGGATAAGCATATTGTCGATATTGATTGGTGCCACATGTAAAATCTTATTGAAGACAACCAAGTTTCTCTCTTTTTTTCGTCGATATGGTTAGTGAGGTTATTCTTTATTGTCTTTTTTTGTGATGTGCAAATATGATACTCACGAGTTTGGTGTTACGTGGGTTAAAGACTACTAAGAACCCTTTTTTGATAAAGTCTATTGTCTTCTTGCTGTGACAAATTCGTTGGTTGGTATACCTAGTTTTCTAATACCTCATGCCTACTTAATTATTTCTGAAGAAAATTTCTAACTCTATTATGACTAATGAATTGTCTTTAAAAGCGTTCATGAAAGATGAACTTGATGATTTTTTATACCTTCTGAGGATTATTGTGTCACTGTGGACTTCAAAGCTCCCAACTGACATCACATCAACCATATAACTACGAGAGATAAATCTAAAGGTGTCCGCGAAGAATCATAGAGATGTGTGACTTCTTCCTATGGACATACATACTAACAAATTCTAATGCTGAGAGCGATCGATAATAGATAGTATTCTAGAAAATGATTTGATTCGTGACATAAACCCTTCATTTTAAAAATAATATTATAATTTTATTAAATGTTATTTGAATAGTTTTTTTCTTAAGAATGAGACTCGCTTACACTAACTTTTAAGTGAGATATATATATCTTATTTTTGCACCATTATAAAGTGATATTTTATTTCTAGAATATCAAATATAATATTATTTTAATTATATTATAAATAAATAATAAATATTATCTCAGGAGTACTGATGCATCAGTGCTCTAATAAAGAAATGCCACATATACAATTGTTTCGTCATAATGTCGCGTGACAACTCTATCATAATGCCGGGTGGCAACTAGAAACGCCACATATACAATTGTTTCGTCATAATGCCGCGTGACAACTCTATCATAATGCCGGGTGGCAACTCTCTACATATTTTTTCTTATAAATAAGATTTCGCGAATCGAGGACAAAAAAACATAACCGCAGAAACTTATTAATAAACTCGAAACACTTGCCTACTCTTCCCCCAATACCGATTTTGCCCAAAACCGTTTCTTCGTGACCGAAAATTTTCGCCGCGATTAGAGCTTCGTGACCGATTTTGCCCTACCTTCGTGACCGATATTGCCCAAAACCGTCACCTTCGTGACGGTAAGGCAACGACGGGATCACGGCCAAAGCTCCAATCTTTTTCCTCCTCCTAGTCCAGAAATCACTGAGGCTGTCTTCTTCCCCCACCCTCCGCCCCAACCCTACAGCAGTAGCAGCTGTAGTTTCGCTAAAATTTCTCCCAAACCAGTGCTCATCGTCGCCTTCTACTAGCAGCGGGGAACTTTAAGCGACAAAAGTCCTGTACGGACGCTATGGTTCACAGCGCATACGATTTGGTGGAGCTTGTAAAGGGCTGCAGCACCAAGATCGAGAGCTTCGCATCATACGGGTATAAGATCCTCTTGGGTTGCTCTGACGGCTCGCTTCGAATCTATGCACCGGCTTCCTCTCTTTTGACCGCTGCTTCGCTCACCAGCGGCGATGAGGGGTTGCCGCAGTCCGATTCCGATATCAGGTCCGAGCCGTACGAGCTGGAGAGGTCGATGTCGGGGTTCTGGAAGCGGGCGCCAGTGGCGATGGAGGTGTGCCGCTCACGGGACCTTCTGCTGTCCCTGTCAGAGTGGATCGCCTTCCACCGGCTGCCCAATCTGGAGACAGTTGTTGCCATAGCGAAGACGAAGGGCGCTAATGTCTACAGTTGGGCTGATCGGAGGGGCTTCCTCTGCGTTGGCAGGCAGAAGAGGGTCGGCATATATAGACTGGATGGTAATTTGGCCATTCGATTCCCATTTTTTCTTAACCTTATCGCAAAATTTCTCTCCGGATATTCGCAAATCTTCAGGCACCAGCCATAAACTCCGCAATCGCCCTGATTTGTGGAAACTAGCCAAAGCAGGGGTCTATTCACCATTTTGGTTGGTTTTTTATTTCTGGAGACATAATCACGTAGCTTTTTCGATTTGTCAAAACTACCCGAAGATTAGTGTAAGAGATGAAGTATGCAGGTTATTTTGGTTCTGATATGAATGTTGTTATTTATTTGTATCCTTTTTTGAGTCGGGGCAAGGCAACCTGTTAAGATAACTGCTTCATATGTGTGAAGGGAACGGCAATGCTCTTGTAAACTGTGAATGTTATGGAAGTGCAAGTAGTATGCATGCTAGATAATGTCATTTTTTTAATTTTAATCTCTTAGTACTCACAACTAATCGTGAGTTTAATGAATAACACGGTTTTAGAATCAAAATTATGGTGCGCGGGCTATTGTCATCTTCCCACCATATAAAAGCTCAGCTTGATTTTAATTATGATTGCTAGGTGGTCGTGAATTTGTGGAGGTCAAGGAGTTTGGTGTCTCTGATCAAGTGAAGTCTATGGCATGGTGTGGTGAAAATATTTGCTTGGGGATTGGAAAGGAATACATAATACTAAACATTACAACTGGGGCATCATCAAAAGTATTCTCGTCTGGAAGGAGTGTCCCCTTAGTTGTTCCTCTCCCTTCCGGGGAGCTTATCTTAGGAAAGGTACTTTTCTACTTCCTTCCCCCCCCTCCTGAATTTTATTGTTTTGTTTTCATCATTTTAAACATTTTTTATATCTTAAAGGCCATTTCTTGTTAATTATTCCATAGGATTTTTGTTTCTAGGCTTGGTTCATTGCTGCTAAAGTTGTATTTCTAGCAATAGCGTTATTGCATGCTCTTCATTTGCCTTTGCTTTACTACAATTTGTCCTTGCTTTACTACCATTTGTTTATAATGACAACTTTTCTTCATGGTTTGATTAAAAAAACCAGTGTCACTGGCAGTACCTTGGCCTACTATATATAATCCTTTAACGTTGCCGGAATGATATTCTAGGAATAGTTTTTTTCTACATTTATTTTACTTTGTATAATATTCCCTTTTCCGGTTTTTCACTATATTGTCATTTGTACGTGTTTTGACTGGCTCGGTTCACATGGTCTCAGAGATAGTGTCTCACAGTGTCTTTTTCATCTCCTTCTTTGTTTGTCTCCTCTCTTCATAGATGCATCTACTTTTTATATGATGGACTCAAAGACTAACATCTCTCTTCATTTTGCTTATACCTCTATATCGTCTCAGCTTAATTTTCTTATGTCCAACATTAAAAATATTGTTCATATCAACCTTATTCAAGAAATTCGTCAAACCTAGAAATCTCAAGCCTTAAAATTTTAAGAGCCAATGACTATGTAGCCCATTAGTTTTGATGTTTTATACTCTTTTCCATGCAACAAAGAAATAAACTTAGCTATTGAATCATATTGCGAGCTGTAAAATATTCAGTCTATAGGCCTCAACCCTTTTTTTTTTTTGGTAGTCGAGGTTCAATTATTTTCTCATCGAGGTTGAAACACTTGGCAATTGTTGAATACATCTCATGGTGGCAAAAATGTTCCAGCAATTCTTGATTTTTCAAATTTGCAGGAAATTGAGTCATTCAATGATTAATTGTTGGCATCACCAAGATATTAACTTCAACAATAATTCCACATGTAAACATGTTCTCTTTGCAGGATCAAATGACGGCGATCTAGAATTCCTCGGCGGTGTGGAATATAAAGGAATGAGTTAGGATAGTAGTAGCATAGGTAACGAAGGAGGGGAGGAGTAATGATGACTGAAATATGATGCAATTTGTAGCCAGACAATCACTTGATTGCAAGAAATTTTCTGTTGGGTTGTGTAATCGGCGGTTGAGGAGGTTGTTGGACGTCCAGGAAAGATGACCATCTTGTTCCAATCAGACTACCGGCACATGTCCTTAGAAATCTCTATGAATATAACACTTTACTGAGAATAAACTAGAGGAAACAACCTCTATTGCATAAACCAAAGTTCAAAGTATTTCAAACAAGTTTTTAAGCAAATTATTTATATGAAGACATCAATTAAATACTAATGCAAATTCAAAAATAAAAGAAAATGGGACCCACAAGGGCTAATTGTCTTAATGTACTGCGCCCAGGATGGGATGTCCCATCCTCGGGTCTGACCCTGGCGGGATCCAAGATCGTGTGGATTTCCCGTGCCAGACAATCACTTGATATTTTATGGAGATAAATCAACAAAATCGTAGGTGTAAGCAATATTCTAATCTTTGTATAACTCATTTTCATAGAACATTTGAGGAGGCTTCCCCCGCTCCCATGATATATCATAGAAACAACGAAACTTAAATCTTATTGATTTTAATCATTGATCCCAAATAAAAAATTATCTATGAAGAATTTAAGTTGCAATAAACTAAAATTATTCAAACCCAATAAAATTAATATCTACATATATTGTAGAATTTAATTATACAAATATCATTTCAAGGATTTATTTTTATAAGAATGAAAAGAGTAAAGAAAAAAGGTGAAGAATCATATAGACTGACAAAACTTCATGCTGGAAAATTGTCGTCGCATCCTATAAATCTTTCGAAGAACGGAGCCTTCGCATTCAATGCAGAGATTCTTTTCAATATCCAAATTTGCTTATTTGATTACAACACCCTATATATATGTAAGAGAGGATTATAGTAGATATGATCAAGAAAATAACAAAATGTTAAAATAAATCTTATTTTCTCTCATTTCAGCTGGCTTTCATTATAAGTTATGTAAATCACCAAATGCCCCTTAGGATGAACCAATCTTAAGGTATGCCGCTCGCATCATACTTTTCATGTTCACAAGACTTAAGTTAGTGAACATAGAATATATGAATTTTTATTGTACCTTTTGCTATTTGAACTTGTTCTGCATTCTGAAGGATGTATGTTATTTTCCATGTGGGATTAAAGAGTGATGACTGGAAATTTGAAATTTCCTAATAACGGTATTTTTGAAGAGAATATTATGTACCTCTTCATTATATGGTGTTGCACAAGATTTTATCTGCATGTCTAGTTCCGGAAACCATGAGCTAGGAATTGCTAATTTCATGCTTATTACTCTTAAGTAATATAATTGATTGCACTGGTGCACTGTGAGCTTTGACTGTAGACCTTGATTCACATGGCATGGCATGCCTACTAATGTTGCAGCTTATTATCATTCTATGTTGGTTTTTTGTTCACATGGATGGACATATTGTGCCGCCTCTTGAAGTTGGTATCTTAGTAAATTTTGTTTCTAAATACTATGATCCTTTCTTTTATTTTTAGAAGCAGCCTTCCTTGAATATTGTTCATTATTGATTGATGAAATACCCTTGTGATGCTAGCGCATAAGCCGAAGAAAATGTTTCTTATTATCACGATGGAAGGAAAAGCAACTGGAACAGTAATGAGTATTAAATATATTATGATAAAACTTAATTCTTGAGTTTTGTAGCCATTGAATTGAAATATCTTAACATTATTCTATTTACTATGGTCTTGACGTGACTGTTAATATATCAAACATTTAAGCAAATTCCTGAAATCATTCAATTAAGTTTTGGAAATATACAGTAGCATTGAGCAGTATTTAGAGCTGGGAAACCATGCTTACAAGCTTATTTTGCATGCGAGTTTGTCTTCACTTGCATCTATTTATAGGATGACGTTGGAGTTTTTGTTGACCAAAATGGCAAGCTCCTACATGATGGCAGGATATGTTGGTCTGAGGCCCCTAGCTCTATTGTCATCCACAAGCCATATGGATTAGCCCGCCTACCTCGGCATGTTGAGGCAAGTTGATAAATATTAAGTTGACTCTTATCCGGAAATCACTCTTTAAGAAATTCCACAAGCTGATATCTATTTTATTTTTTTATTATGTCTTATCGATGCAGATACGCTCTCTTGACTCGCCATATCCTTTGGTTCAGACAATTGTGCTCAGGGATGTTCATCTCCTTCAGCAAAGTAATAACTGTGTAATTGCTGCTGTTGGAAGTTCTGTTTATGGTCTTTTGCCAGTTCCCGTTGGTGCCCAGGTAATGAATTGCCTTGTATTAGAATTACTATTCCATTATCTGAACATTGAATCTTTTTGAGCTTTACATGACTCAGTTATATACAGAAACACTACATACTCAAATTTAACATACTTTCTGGATTTAAAAAAAAAAGTTTAAATCAATAATTATTGCTCACGATTCTCATATAACTTTATTTAGAATTTTAGCAAGCTATTCCATTGAATCATATCATTTAACATGTGTTTAAAAGGTTCTCTTATATGATTTAGTTCCTTGATTCATGCCATATGAAAAATTTCTTTATCAAATTGATCCCAGATTATAAAAGCTGAATGCTGATGACAAGTTAATAGGAAATTATCAAATTTTGATAAAATTATTTAAATAACTCCTAATTTGATGTTTGCTAGAGCTAGGATATGTCCCAAAAGTGCTGTCATGGCTTAGCCAATTATAGTGAAGTGAGAAGGTTGGCTTGGATGTTATGCAGTGTGAGAGATGTCTACTTTTATTTGATTGGTTTAAGAGTTTATTTATGCCAGCTGAATTAGTAATATTGAATTTGTCATATTAATGCCATTTTCCTTATTTCTTAATTTTTTGGGTTTTGCTTATGGTTTCATTATCTTAATATTAGTAGGGCTAGAGTGCCAATAAATTTGGAGCAAGTATTATTAGGCCTTGGGTTTTTAGATATGGCATAAAGGGGAATTTCATGTAGCATTCCTTCTGAGGATTAATTCTTTTCTCATACTCTACGGCCTTAAAATCCTTTTTCATCTTTTACTCTACATTTTGCCAACCTCCTCTCATGGCATTCATTCATTTCATCACAATCTCTTCTGTCTCTTTACCTCCATGTTTCTTCCTTTACTCATGATCATCCCCTCTAAATACTTAAGTTGCCATACTCCAAACGTAATCACTATCCACTTTCTTTGCTCCACTCAACATAAATGGATATTAGTGCAGAAGTTCCTAAACTGAAGATGTTTTCTGTGAAGAAATTTGGGTATTTTTTATTGAAAAATGATGAACTTGCTGAATTTGGAAAATTGCAGATACTAGAGGGGGTTAGTTCTGATTTGAATTTATTAAGTTGGCCCTATTAATATTGACATTTGTCACGTTTGACAAATTTAACATATCTCTTTTTGATTTTGAAGTTTCAAGAGATCATAATAATACTCTCCTCCTTTTTTTAGTCTCTTTAGTTTGCCACTTTATATACTCTCCACATAAATTTTGGACACTTCTGCACTTTCTATTCACAAATTCAATATATATTATGCAATTTATTTCATTAGTGTTTTAAATAATTTTAGTGGTTATTTTTCATATTTTTTAGTTATTTTTTGCCTTGTTGCATCCAAAGCCTTCTTTATCTAACGTCATTAGCCACCCCCTCCTTGCATCACCACTCTTAACTACTAGAAAAACAAAGATAAATGCAGTAAGTATGAATTAGATGCAAGAAATTGACAAATAAAAGAAAGTAAGTTTCGAATTTGAAATTCTAAAAATAAAAGTGACTGATTTAAAATTCAAATCCGTGTTTGAAATTTTTTTGTAGCTATCCTATCTTTCTTGTTTTATGCAACAATTTATATCTATCATCCATAGTTTCCTTCAACCTATCCTATACAATGTTGATCTCATTTTTGGTGAGGTCTCTTCTTCTTCTTAGAGCCTAGGATCTAGACTTAAGACTTCTTGTTGGACTCTTTTAGAGGGCTAGTCTGGGACCTGCACCAACTAGAAATTCGAGCCACTTCTTGACTCATCGCAGTTTCATATGGCCTGTTCTAAATCCTTAACGCTTAGTTGAGTCGATTAAAACCAGCGTGACGAAGCTCGAGTCGAGTACCCGTAGGATTTGAAATCACAGGAAAACCCATTGCGACATCCGCGCACGCTCACGATACACGAATACTACAATTCTTGCGTCGATGCACATAAATTATCGAAATTCATGTCACCTGCACCTGTAGAAGGCTTCACGATTGATCAAACTCGAATCAATTGCTGGAACAAACGATCACGAGCGAAACTTTTGCGATAATTTGAATTTGACGTGTTTTCGGCTCGATCGTCGACGAAGTCGTCCGCACAACCCCAGATGATGAAACAGACCGCGCCGGTGCGTCCGGGACGTCGAATTTAGCTAGGGAGGACGCCCATTTTGATGTGACATCATGCCAAGCGGAAATGCGCGAATCGGGGAAATTTGATATCTTATATTATATAACTAATATACATATTAATATAAAAGATATGAGATAGGTTGGTTGGGGGATTTTATTTTTGCCTTAAAACACCTGGCTTGCAACAACTCTTCGACCCGCCTCCTCTTCTCAATTGCGAGTCGAGCCCCATCATGAACCCTAATCGCGCTTCTCGCCCGCGGGTGAAGCCCTAACCGCCCCCTTCTCTCGAATGCTCTCCTTCACGTGACGAGGAGTTGAATACCTCTCTCTCTCGACATCCTCTGCCCGAGAACCTCCTTCCTGAAGCCACTATGGTAAGTTGACCCAGGCACATTTGTTCTCTGGGTCATGAATGCGACATTTCTTCTCCTTTCCCGATAGCTTCTACCTCTGTGGCTCTTGCTGCAATGGTTTCCTTTTGCCGGGTCCGGCTCTGGGTTGGCCTCATCCTCCGGTAAGCTGTGTTATTTCCTCTCCTCCCCTCCCCTCCTCTAAAAACCCCTCTTGGGGAAGGGTTGTGAGGTTACAAAGTCTGGGAGCTTGGGAGACTGTCTGATTCACCTCTCTTGCTTGTGAGCCTGGTGCTTGGGAAACCTTGTGGTTTTCCTCTATCTTTTGGCAAAAGCTCAAGCGAGGTACCCACTTTCTTCTTCCCTGTTTTCCTTCTCCGCTCGACAGGGGCTGTGCGTAAATTTCTATCCTTAAAAAAAAGGGGAATTCATGCATATGGTGGTTTACTTGTCTTTGCTGGTATTTAATGTTGGAATAGCTATTAGTTGTTGTACTTTTAGCTGGCTGAAGTCACTATCGGTTTCTGTTGGCTCTAGTATGAATACTGCATACTGTTGGGCCTGTATTAAATGCTTAATGATACTTAATTGAAAATGTAGGCTTACAAAAAGCATGGTTCAATTCGTATGCATGTGCAAGCTTCCTTCTTGTGTTCTTATTATATCTATATCTGTATGCTAAAATCTAATGACTGTTTCAACCCTATAAACTTGCTGTTCTCTTTGTCGGCTCATTTGGTTTTGGGATTTTGGAACTAGCTTGGTTTGGTTGATGCAAATGCAAATGCTGGAATCAATTGCTTCTTTTATGAACTCGCTTGGTTTGATTTTGTGGGGCCTTGTGGTCTCGGCTTTATGGGCTCATTCGGTTCAGTTTTATGGAGCTGGCGATTTCAGTTTTATGGAATTGGCTTGGTTTGGTTCTTGTAGATTCCACAGCTTCAGTTTTACAAAAAAGAAAAAAAGGGTTTTGTCATGCTTATGAAATGGATAATTTTTTTGTTTTGGGGCGTAGTTGCTCCTCCTTCTATTGAAAACATATATAGACGGTTACCTTTTTGCTTTAGAGTTTTTGGAGTTTTATGGTGTTTCTTCTCTCTTGTTAGCTCTATTCGAGAGACTTGCTGGAGTTCCTTTGTGTTAGTTTGGATTGTTTTCTTTGCTAGCTCTATTCAAGAGCCTGACTGGGGCTTCTCTATGTTAATTTGGATTGTTTTCTGTTGTTGGATCTTTTCGAATTCATTATTGTGCCCTCCTTCTGTTGGTTTTGGTGGTGCTTTTGCTTTTCCCACCCGAGATCAGTTATTTGGGCTCCCTGTGTTGCCGTGGGTGTTGCCTTGCTGCCCCTACCTGAAACCTGCTATGTGAGGGTTCCTTTACTTTGGTGTTGGCTGTTTTCCTCTGCTGCCTTCACTCGTAACCTGCTGGTTGGTACTCCCTGCTGATGTGGGTTTGTTTGCTTTGCTGTCCCTCTATCCGAAGCTTGTTGGTTGATACTCCCTATGTCGGTGTGGGTTGTTTGCCTGCTGCCCCTTATCCGAAACCTGCTAGCTGGGCTCATTGTGTCGGTTTTGAGTGGTATCCTTGCTGCCCTTCCCCAGAGCTAGCTGTTTGGAGTCTCCCTATGTTGGATTTGATTGTTTCCCTACCGCTTCTCTCCCTGGAATGGGGGAGCACATTTGTTTGGGCCCTCCTTGTGTCTTGTTGAGATTTGCTCCCTTACCCGAGAACACTTGTTTGTGATTCCTTTTGTGTTGGTTGGTGGCTTCCCTGCTGCCCCTAGTCGTGGGCACCTGGTTTGGTTGTTTGTCCTGCTGTCCCTAGCCGTGGGCACTTGATTTGATTGTCCCCTTCTATTGCCCCTACCCGTGAGCACCTGCATGGGTTCCTTTGTGTTGTGTTGGGTTCATTGGAGCTGTTGGTTTGAAGTGGAATTGAGTGCTTTACTCATTGTAAATTGGAATATTTTAATCTTTATGTTTTGAAGAATTCGGGTGCTCCTTTTGAAGAACGATCTATTAAACGTTGGGAGAGAGTTCAGAGCTCAATTCTTTGAGCTGCAACTCTTTGTGCTGAATTGATTTCAATAAAAAAAAATGAGGAGAATCCTTTTGGTATTTGAAAAAGTTTAGGAGCAACTGGAATCTTTTAAAATGTGCCTTTTGGAGTGTTTTGGGCTAGCAATTGAAGCCTTTTGATACACCTCTTTCGGATTGTTACACCGGTAGCTTGGAAAGAGGGAGCTAGCATTGATAGGTGTGCCACATTTTGTTGTTTATTCGAGGAGTCCCATTGGGTGAATGTTTGAGGCTAACCCTCCTACCATTTTTGCACCCTCCTTAAATTGGTTTTGGAGGTGGGTTAGTCTTCCTTTTTTTCATTTCTTTCTTTTCGGTTCGCTTTCCTTGCTTCTTGGTTTGGTTTTAGGTGCTTATGTTTGACACACAAACACACATATATAGCCGTCGATATATATGAACCGTCAAACAAGGTCATAAGTTGGACGACCTTTTTTGGGGTTTTAGGCCTTGATGATAAAGACATTCGGTGGTAGAGCGAAATAATATTCCATCGTACGCCATCAGGATTCAATCCAGGGACCCGTGAAATGTATGATCACAATATTATTCGCAGACACCAGACTAGCAGAACACTCTTGTCTTGTTAGGTCGTTGGTGGTTCTAGCTCGATAGTGCGATCGATTTGTGGACAATTATATTTTATAAAAAATGATAAGAACATGTATGATAAGAACAAATACGCTATTTACAAAAGTATTTTGACTACAAAAATATATATTACTTTCTCTTATATGCATGAAATTTTTATGCATGCCAAAAATATAAATTTTAAGTAATAAATTTGATTGTCCACTTGTCAATTGCCGGTACTGGGCTAAGGAGTACCCTCCTAAGTTGGTATTGTTTGAAACCCTTCTAGTTGAATGTGAGACTCTATACATACGGGAGATCGATAGTTGTCTTCGGAGTCCCTTGAGAATACCTAAATCTGAGTCTAGCCCGACCCGAGTGCTTACGGTTTTATTTCTTTCCTTGGATTTTTCGTGTGTTTTCTCTTGGGATCCTTGTAGATCATTTTTTATTTCCTCCAAATTTTTCTCGTGTTTTCGACGGTTTTCTTCGAGTTACCGTGGGACATTTGTCGTTTTTCTCGAGCTTTTCAGGTGATGTTCGCCATTCATTCTCGTTTATATAAATTCATGCTTGCCACCTGTTAAAATTTTTGTTGAACTCGTTTACCTTCACCTGCGACACCGACCGCATTTACAGAAGTATCACACTCGTCAGCTATACATGTTTGTTTTATATTTACAACATTTTACTTTTTTTCTACTGTATACTTTACTGCCTTTCTTTACTTACCGTTCTCCTTTACGACACTTTACTGTATATACATATAGTTCATGCTTGAGATGCTACTGTTTATTGTTTACTGTGCTTCGCAACATGTTTCCTTTTTATTATTGATGTTGTTTCTATAAACTTGCAGGGGTCTGTAGGATAGAGGACAGTAGGACACCCGATTTAGGAGGCACCCTATAGCAAGCCACTGACAAAACAACTGTATATTTATACACACCACAACCCCAAACCTATAATCGAGATGTTAAGGAGCTTAGAGTAGTTTTTTTTCCAAGAAGCGGAGCGTGGAAGCAGGTGGACGGATAGCGGCGATTGAGGCCACGACAACGAGGTGTAGGACGTTTCTTCAGAGTTAAAGTCTAATCGTAGGATAATTGGGAAGTCACTGGGGTTTGTTTTCTCGGATCTGTGACATCCCCTACCTTTCACTCCATTGACTCCTAAAAATAACTGTTCTTATTTTGAGTCATTCCCCTTTGATTTTCTCACATTTAATATTGGAAACATAAACTTTGAAATCTTGAAAACAAAACCACTAGTCTTAATCGAGAGTCTTCTTAGGTGATTTTAATTGCATAAGATGTAATTAACTATAAGGGTTTTACTCTATAGGGAACTTAAGAACTCAGCTTAATATAAATCTTATTTAATCTCCCGTATTAAATAGGGAAACTTGTCGGCTTATAAAAAAAATTTCGTAGACTAAACGAATGTCACAAATCTTTTAGTTTAGGTAGTTAAGCCTAACAATAAGTTATATGCATATCCTTCGGGATGGTGTACTACTTGTGGTATCGCGCTCAACCATTTAAACTATCAAACGTGCGAGATCCATTCGGTCTCACTTTTCAAAATTAAAATAATATTATTTTCTAAAATTATAATACGGCCAACATACAATGTGCTGTATAATTCCCTCTACAATATCTTACATAGTATCCTTCGTAATTCCCTCCGTAATGGCCTCATACCAATTTTCACCAAAATTGCTAAATGTACACTTCACTTGAATACCAATTAAAATTTGAATTTCAAAACATTAATTCAAACTTCATTATGATCACCTACATAATTTTCTCCAACCACTTTGCCCATCCTAGTTCAGTTAGCTTCTCCAAACCTAACCTAATTCCCCCTATTTCCTAATCCCAAGCTTGATCCATTTAAACCTAATCGGCCTTTCAGTTTAGCCTAGCCTAATTGACCTAATAAACCTAAATTAACCTTACTTACCCAAACTGGCTCAATTGGCCTCACTTACCTTGCCATGAAACCAAAAGGCAAAAATAAAGTGATCTTAAATTTTAATTTAAAATTCAAATTTGAGATTGAAATTTTCATACCTATCCTATCTTCCTTATTTTAAGCAAAAATTTATACCAATCATCCATAATTTTTTTAATACTAACCTATACAATATCATTCATAATTCTCTCCACAATCTCTTTGAAAGCATCCATCATAATTCCCTCCATGATGACCTCATAAGAATTAAAATTTCTAAACATATACTTCTCTGGAATATCAATTGAAATATGAATTTTATTAGTTCAAAATTCCATTTGATTGCCTACCCGTTTTACTAAATTTTCCCCAACTACCTTGACTCAATCTAATCTGGTTAGCTTTTTCAAGCCAAACCTAATTCCCAATATTTCCTAAACCCATGTATTTGATCTGGTTCATTGATGTTCATTTTGTCTAAAATCTAATGACTTATTTCTTCCATGGTAAATTTTGCTTTAAGCTTCTATGCAGGCATTTAATGGTAACATATAAAGCCCATTTTTGGCGGTTTTTGTGCTGAATTTGTGATGTCTGTTAGACTTCGAAATTATGCTGATTTTTTTTTTCTTGTGTTTTTGTTGTCTTTGCAATTTTGCATTGTGTGTGCAGATTGTACAGCTGACAGCATCTGGGAATTTTGTGGAGGCATTAGCTTTGTGTAAGCTACTCCCACCAGAGGATTCTAGCCTTCGAGCAGCAAAAGAAGCCTCTATACATATAAGGTCCTTAATCAGCATCTGCTATTTGATATCGTGTTCAATACAAAGCCATTTTTTAGTGTCAAGTATTCTTTTAAGATCTCTAAATTTACAGCATGACCATATCCCTTGTGTATAATATAACTATAATATTATCTTTCTGATGGAAACTAAAATTTTCAATTGAAACAAGAGGCTGAAAACTAGCTTTTCTTAATATCAGTTTATAGTGGTCATTCGTGATTTTTTTTTAATGTCTCATTTCTAGGTATGGGCATTATCTGTTTGACAATGGGAGCTATGAGGAGTCCATGGAACAGTTTTTAGCTTCCCAAGTGGACATTACCCACATATTATGTTTATATCCGTCAATAACTCTACCAAAGGATCTAACTATTGTTGAACCTGAGAAGTACCAAGAGCTGACAGAAGCTTTTTACCTATCAAGGGTTTCTTCTGACGTGTCAGATGACATGGAATCATCATTGCCGGCACAACTGTTTGAATCTGATGATAAATCGGCAAGTGAGGATAAAAAAATGAGTTATAATGCCATCATGGCACTAGCAAAGTATCTGCAGAGGAAAAGATTTAGTGTTATTGAAAGGGCAACAGCAGAAGTAACCGAGGAAGTTGTCTCTGATGCCGTGCAGGGCAGCATAATGACTTCAGAACCATATGGATCTAAGAGTTACATAAAGGTGAAAAAAATATTGCAGTTTCAGTTTTGATTGACCTAAGTTTTGGTTCTCTGGTCTCTAACCAGGGTCTTTCCTTTAACAGAAAAGAGGTCATCCTCATATCAGCTCAGTTGGAAGGGAGATGGCAACTATACTGGACACAGCACTTATTCAGGCCCTGCTTCTTACTGGTCAATCTTTGGGAGCGTTAGAGTTGTTGAAAGGCCCTAACTACTGTGACTTAAACATTTGTGAAGAACTTTTGAAAGAAAGGAAGGATTATGAGGTGTTGTTAGAGCTCTATAAGTGCAATGGAATGCATCATGAAGCACTCAAACTTCTCCATCAGCTTATTGAAGAATCAAGTTCGGGCATTAGGAGTTGTGAATCTCAGAACTTCAAGCCATCCATGATTATTGATTATCTCAAGGTATAGTTGCTTTCAAAAGCTTGCATCATACTTTTGAGTTTTGTTTTGCTTAGACTTATGTTTCTATGTGCTGTTACGATTCTATGATTTGTAATGCACACCTTTTGGATCATCCAGCATATAAGAGTTAGTACCAATTTTATAAGAGTTACTACAGTTTTAATTTGAAATGTGTTCTGGAACGATGTTAAATATCTTGAAAAACTCTAGCGATGGTTAATATTAGGATTCTTGTAGTTTCCATCATATTTTAAATATGATATCCACAGTTTTATTACATTATGTTAAATATTATATACATGTTTTTGGGCTCTTGTTGATGCATTTATAATTATTGTATAAATAATATTTCAATCGCCTCATTGACTTCAAAAAATTTTAATTTATTGAGTCAATGCCAAGTATCATGAGCAAATACAACCAACTAAAATCATACTTAGATGTCATATGAGTTACGTTGCCTTGAGGAACAATGCTTATGCATTACAATGATAACGGTTAAGATTCTCCTATCGTATGGTGCTTACAACGGTCTCTTGGTCTTGTCTTGGGTTTCGATTAACTTGATTGAATTAACCAAGTTTGTTCCATGATATCTTTAGCTTGATCAAATTATCTTCTTAAGTTGGTGCTTTCTTTATTGGTATACCTGCAATAAACTCTTCAATTTTCAATTATACTAAATGATGGGAATATTATAGGTTGACAAACCAACACTTACTTCCTACCGCATCATTACCTAAAACTTAACTTTATCTATGTTGGGCAATTAAATTATAAACTTCGTCATTTATCCATCCACCTTAAAAAAATATACTTATTCCTACCACCCCCATTGTTTGCTTTGAGCAGTCGCTAACACTAGGTGGGGAGGAAATAGCATGATGGGATGATAATTGAAGTTAATGAAATATTTTTTAGAAAAATCGGCAGTATGTGTGTGTGTCATTGTTATCAAAGCACAATACTATGTACAATGCTTTATTTTTGATTCAAAGCGCAAAATACAGAGCGAAGTGACGCTTTTATTAACCGAAGCGCTAATAAGTTATATGAAACTATTAATGTATAAATATATTCACGAACAATATAAAGTATAAAGTATTTATTATATGATTTAAAATGTGATATGATGAAAATTATTATAGAAGTGCAGGTGTGTAATTTGCTGGACGCGACTTTTATTGTTGTATGTGAGTGGGATGCTTACGGATGCATGCGATAGTGAATCACATGCAATTCAAGTTAAACATAAATCAAATCAAAATTTTGAGATACAAAGTTTCAAACATTTATTTTAAGATAAATTATATCAAGTAAAAATAGGGGACAACACAATTCAATACTATCTCGCAAAGGTATGATGTATCAAGCATGGATTCAAATATTATATCGTAATTTTCAGATGGAATTTAACTTTGTTTCCTTTTTTTCAATTGTTGAATCCAAATTTGTTTGTAAATAAGTTGTATCTCATTAACTAGATCAATGAGAAAGAGGGTGAGGAAAAGAGAAAGATATCTTCTAGAATGCGAATAGTCATCCGACTCTCTTCTTATTATTAAATGAATTATCACCATAAAATGGCCCTGACCCCCCCTTTGCATTTGCAGGGGTTCAAGGCACCATACGAAGAGCTGTATTTCTTAAGAATGGGCGATAATCCATGAGCACATGATTGGACTATTGCAAACTTGTGGGCACAGGACTCGAGAGAGTACTTATGGATGATTACCTTTTCTGCTGCTTAAAGGTTTTGATGCATGAGTCAGTGAGATGGTCTGGTAGGTTGGAGGGACTCATTGACCTCCTTCTATAGCTCGAGCAAAGGCCGGTTTGGAATATGTGAGTCCTCCTCACATGGTTAGGATGAGTGTCCTTTAGGTTGGGATGGACACCTTTTGTTGTGAGGCGAGTGCTTTTGACATGGATGATGTTCTCTAATCGAACAAACTTTCTTGAACCGGGCTAGTGTTTTCTTGGATGAGGTGATTGCTTTTGACCTAGATGGTGTCTCTAATCAAACGAGCTCTCTTGAATTGAGCGAATGTCTTCTTGGATGTGGTGAGCGGTTCGTGATAGCTTTAGTGTTGAATAATCGTACGCGGTGAAGCCATGCAGATTTTTGCGCTTATGGTGGCCTGATCTAGTTCATGCTGGCTTTGGAGGAGTGCACAATGAGCTGTAACGATTTCATCATTCCAGTATAGTTGAGCGGTCCTGATCTAGTTTTGCCTAGTCCCTGTTATTTTTCAAATTCAGATTTGAAGTCTTTTTCTTTGAATGCAAATCCCAATCTAAACTCATTTCATTTTTCTTTCATTAGTACTGTATGATCCGACTCATTTTTTTCAGTGCTCGTTACTAGTATTGACAAGTTTTTCTTTTATGAATGTAATAATCAAAAGAAGGCGGTTACCTACTCCTTTGTTTGGGTTAATAGAATAGTAGATTCATTGCCTCCTTTTGACCTTCTCTAAGAACGTACAGTAAACTTGTTTTAAAGATGGGATGTATACACCACAGGCAGGATTCAGCCTTTCCAAACAAGCAGGGTAAAGACCAATTATAAAATTTAAGATTCTCCCATAATACTGCCTGCATACACTTACAATCCTTTTTTGGATTCCAACACATAAATATTACCTGTAGTTATAACTATCTCATCCTTTCCTACTTAGAGACTCAGAAAAGCTAGTTACTGATTCATCGCCCTGGTATTAACACTGCAATTGCTAGATCCCAAGCCCTTGATGTGAAAAGTAGAGAGTTGCGTTAGGTAGATGGTTATTGTAAAATTTTGGTCAAAAAATTATGACATGAATCATTTTAAATTTTTGTGTAAATGCTAGGCGTCTCCTGGAAACAACGCGCTGTATGACCCTAATTCGGTGAAAATTGTGCAAGTGTCGCTAGATCGATGCCCGGTTGTACTGTCAATTAAGTAATAGTTCCCACACTACGGACGAATATAGGCAAAGAAGTTAGTCCATGAAACTAATATTATGAGAAGATATTGGAATATATGTATTCTCACAGATAAATTAATGGAATTAGTAAATACTATGATTCATAGGAAGATAAATATCTTATATATTCAAGAAACTAAATGAGTTGGAGAAAAAACTAAGGAGATTAATAGCTTAGGTTTTAAACTTTGATATTCAGGTACGAGTCACGCTAGAAATGGTATAGGTGTAATTATAATTAAGAGTTTGAAAGATAATATTATAAATATTAATAAAATTGAAGATAAAATTATAGCCTTAAAGATTGTTGTTGATACTAAGATTTTTTATGTTATAAGTGCATATACTCCTCGAGTAGGTTTAGATATATGTTCAAAAGAAAAATTCTGAAATGATCTAGAAGAATTAATATAAATGATACCTCTTGAAGAATAAATTTTAATTGAAAGAGATTTAATTGAAAGAGAAATATGTTCAAAAGAAAAGTTCTGAAATGACCTAGAAGAATTAATACAAATGATACCTCTTGAAGAAAGAATTTTAATTGAAAGAGATTTAAATGAAATGTTGGTAGAGTATAAAAGATTTTAGAAATATTTATGGTGGCTACGGGTTTAGAGTGATTAATGAAGAAGGTAGAATTATATTAGAATTTTATTTATCGTATGATTTTGTAATTGCTAATAATATTTAATAAAAGATACGAACATGTTATTACTTATAAGAATTGATCTAATAAAACACTGATTGTTTTTTTATGAGGAAAAAAGTTCGAGAATATAAGATTGTGAGGTTATTTCAAGTGAAAATTTAAGTACTCAATATCGATTATTAGTTCTGGATTTTAAGAAAAAAAGTTTTAAGATAAAAAAAGTTTTAAGATAAAAAATAAAAAAGTTTTAAGATAAAAAATACAATAAAATATTGTCATAGAATTCAATGGGACATCTAAAAAACAAATAAAATTATTGTTTGAGTAAACTTCAAGATTTCCATATTTTGGATTTTCATGAAGAAGCTGATTTTATGTGGGATAAAGTAACAAACATAATTAAACAAATAACAAAAGATGTAATTAGAGAATCAAAACAAAGTTTTTTTAACTAAAGATGGTGGTGGAATAATTTTGTGCAAGAGAAGATAAAATATAGAAATTTGACTTTTAAATATTATTTTAATTGTAAGTTTATAGAACTGGGAAAAATTTAAGGTGGCCTGTAGGGAATCTATGAGAATAATTTGTGACGTTAAAAATTCTGTTTTCTGTGATTTTATAATAAGATTACTGAAAAATTGTGGAAAAATATAAGATAACTTATTCTTATTGATGCAAAGAGGGGAATAAATACTCATTACATGACTTACTGATAAGGAAAAAAAGAAAACAGAATATAACAGACAAGGAAATGAATAATAACAAATATAAGAGACAACTAATTTCTCTAATTAAGGAAAAAAATAATTAGGAATTCTTAAGATCCCTCATACAATTTATAACCCTCTAAATATAGAGTTATAATAAATATGAAATATAATCATCATTATTTACGAGATCTTTCAACACTCCCCCTCAAGCTGACTCCCCCTCAAGCCCTCAAGCTGGCATGAAGATGTCACTCATAGCAAGCTTGCTAACTAGATTCTCGTGTTGCACTTTGAAAAGGCCTTTTGTTAGAATATCTGCTGTTTGGCTAACAGTGGGTATGTAGGATATACATATCACACCATTATCTATCTTCTCCTTGATGAAATATTTGTCAACTTCTACATGTTTTGTTCTGTCATGTAGAACTGGATTATGAGCTATAGAGATTGTAACCTTGTTGTCGCAGTAAATTTTAATAGGTGCTGACATAGGAATCTTCAACAAGGAGTGTTTTTATCCATAATACTTCATCGAGTCCATGTGCCACCGAGCGGAATTCTACTTCAGCACTACTTCTTGCTACCACATTTTGTTTTTTTACTTTTCCAAGTAACCAGATTTCCGCCTACAAAGGTACAATAACCTGAAATAACCTGATGTGGATC